AATCATTAGGTGATTTAATATAAGGATATTATCAATATTAATAGCAGTTTGCTACAAATCGTGCCTTATTTTATCTTGTTCCTAGTAGTTGTACTTCTCTTGAGCAGATGTTTTGTTTTTATCTTATGAACACTGTGTATAATGTAATTGACAAGGTTTTCCTTTTCCTTTTGGCAACCAGAAAGCTTAGAGTCAAATTAAGTGTCCAGCCTCAGAAAGAGCATATGGTATACACACTTGCAGAATCATCTTTGGTTCCACTGTCTCCTCATCCTCATTTTCTCTTATCTGGCCACTTTCAATTCACCCTATTCTGTCTTATAACATACATCTCCAAGTTACTTCTATACAGTGCCTGAATGAGGGAATTATAAGAATTTTAAAAATACACAGGTGGTGGGAAAGACAGATACCCTTAATGGTGGTTGGTTACTTCTTCTTGTTCTTCCTGATAAAGATCTTATTTAAGTCTGAGTAAATTTCAGAGAACTCAGATTCCATGCAAACCAATATGCTAATAACTGGGTCACAACAAGCAAATACAAGGTAGATGGGGACTGATAACCAGAGAATTTTGGCTGGCTTGAATATCTAAGCAGACTCATGTCCACAGTCCTGGGTTTGAAACCAGGTATACTGGGTTCAGGATACTTGTGCAGACTAACCTCTTAGAGATCTACTTGTGGGGAATCTGGGACCATTTTGTGGAAAAAGAGTAAGGGAAAGCAGAGAAAACAAAAAAGTATTAATTATTTTCATATCTTTATGCTCCTGATTCTAGGATATTTTAAAATTAGCTGGAAAGTAGCTAAGAAATATTCTTATTTTTAAAGACACAAAGGATTGAGTAATTAATTCCAGCCGTAATCTATTACGAAAGTCTGAACTTTCCTACATTCTACGATTTTGCAATTTAAGTCTTTTTCTTCTTGCTTAGTTCTCATGAGAGCTAAGGAATAGTAAGTAACTAAAGGAACTACGTATAAAATGCTTTATACAGGTATAACACTCCATTTTCACACTTTTGGGAAGATAACATGCAATGTTAACTGGTGGTCCACTGACTGAATAATTGGATGTGAGAAAGAAGCAGTATCAAACTTCACAAAAAGATCCTTGAATAACATTTACAAACCTGCAAGCAACTCAGTTCCTGTCATGCCTCAAAACTGTTACTGGGTCCCAATACTTACAAAATTAGGTACAAACTCTTCTTCAGGTATTCAAAGCCTACATTTTACTCTAGGAATACCTTATACCACTTCAAATGGCCCCCCACCTTTAGCATAAAGCCTATGAATTAGGAAAAAATTATCCTAATTTTATTGAATTTTTCTCTTTTTTGAATTCCCTCATTTCTTAAGATACTTATATAGTTCATTAAGTTCTATTATCTATCTCCTACTGAACTCTTCCTCTTCCTCACCCTTGATCCTAACCACCCCACAAATTATATACCTTGTTGTATACTTGGCAGGGCCTAGGACTGACTCTACCTCGCAGCCACCCTTCCACTTGCAAGTCAGTGTGCCACCTAAAGCATGCCTAGAAGCAGGTTTTCAGTGGTCGAAATAACCCCCCTTCTCATACTTACTCCGACCTCTCATGATAGGATAATCATAATAAATATGTAACTTCCACCTATTGGTCCTAGTCTTTCTCTTATTATCTCTATGGAATGTGCATAATCCTTCTTTAAAAAAAAACAGCCTATAAAGTATTTGAAGCTGAAAACAGTATAATTATAAAGACCCTGGAATACTGAGAACTTCAGGCAGAGCATATTGTTTCAGTGACTATTCTAGAGAATCTAGTAAAACTAAGACTACAACCCTTTAACTTACCAAGATCTCTTAACAACCCTGTTCCCTACTCTTATTCTAATTCTAGCCCTATTTAAGCATTAAGAAATGACAAACATGAAATGTAGTAGGGCAGAATTATCATTTTTCCTGTCCTGTTGTATATGGAAAATAATGTTTGACCAGCACACTGTTGTAAACTAGAATGCATTTGGGGTCTCTAAAAGCTCTAGGTGAAAAGAAAATTGTTACCTTTGCTTTATGTAATTATAATAAGAAAAAAGTATTAGAATGTATTAAATAATAAAATTTGTATGTATAATATTTATCAAAATTTTAATGAGATACTTGAGTTGGCTTAGTTTATAGAGAAACATACAAATGGTGTTCAAATATAATTTTAACTGTGGTAAATTTCTTGATGGTTTGAAATGGTTTTATACGTCAAAAATTTACAATAATTCAATATTGAGAGTCCCATAATTAACCCATTCCCAGTTGGGAAGCTCTGTCCTAGAAGTACATGAGACCACGTGCAGAAATGTCTGCTTACAGGCTCTTCTTTTCCTCCTTCACTTGCCTTCCCTTTTCTTTCTTTCACTATTTCACTTTCTGTAATGTGTCCGGGCAATTGACATCAACTATATGTCAATGAAAGACAGCTTTTCATTGACCTATAACTGATAATCCTTTTGCTTCATGAGCCACCTCAAGGCCTAGAAACATGTTAACCCACTCATCTTGGCATTCCAGAGCTCGGAAAGCAAATCACAGCTGGATAGTCCATAGGAAGTGGAGAAGATGATATGGCATCTAGTTGGACAGAAACTAGGGGAACTGACTGTCACGGCTGTACCTATCCTGCAAAAAGGTGGTGGGGGATCTTTAAATGCTGAATGGCCTGTGTTAGGTCTGCAGCCTTACTCTCCTTTCGAAACCTCTAGTACTTCAGTGTTCCCTAGCAACAAAGGCAAAGGATCAATTTAGAAAACTGCTTTCCAGAGCATTCCTATCTAGCTACTGACCAAGCCATTTTAGTTCATGTGATCAAGCAACTGAAATTCAAGAAGATTTATCAATGACTGTCCTCAGCAGCAAAACTGGAAGAGCACTGCTTGATATGTACGCTACTAATGTCTGAAATGACTGATTCTACCTCTATGGCACAAGCATGGATTGGTTTCAGTAAGAATTAGTAGTCTCTGCATCTCACTGTGAACTGACAGTGTTGCTAGGGAAACTGATAATTATGTGGCAAAATGGAGAGTACAGAATAGAAAAAGGGTTCAGAAGAAATGTAAGGTTTTGATCCAAGTCAGTACGTTAATAGTATAGTTTGTCGACCTTCTGTAGTCATCTAATTTAATAAATACCATTAATTATATGTTTGACAAGATACAGATTTCCAAATTAAAAGAAATGAATAAAAATGAATAGCTACTGGCTACTGATCATACTTTGTGTATGCCACAGCAAGAACATGTATTTACTACAAACTACAATTATTTAAAGTTAAGATATCTAAAAAGGTGAGCAAAACATATTGATATCCAAAGAAAAACATTGGAAATCAAACCAACCTCATAGTGTCCCAGGTATAAAAATTATAATTCCATAAAAGCTTTAATAAAATTACTTTTTTTGCCTCATAAACTAATTTATATACCCTCAAAACATCCTATAAGGTGGGGAAAAAAGAATTACTGTTTTTATATTATACATAGTAAAATCAAGCTAGAGAAGCTAACTGATCTTCCTAAAGTCACATCGCTCCTCAGTTAGTGGTAATATGATGCTAAATCTTCCTCTTTCAGCCATCCAAGAGGCATTATTTATAAATTATATTCCCTTTAAGAAAACTCATTAGAAGATATAAACAAGTGAATAAATTCAAATCTCTAGATATCACCTTAATTTTAAATGAAGATTTTCAGTACTTTTCATTTTCAATGGTTAACAGGTTAGTTCTAAAAGTTAATAATAGAACATAAACTCTTGTTTATCAAGCAAAATCTCATTGGGGACATTTTAATATGTGAGAAAGATGATCAAAAAGATAAACAGATCATTATTAACAGGTTTTTACTGCACATTAAATTGCTGCCTGTGAGTTGTCAGTCCTATCATGACAATCCAGCTGCACAACGTTCTTTTATTGTCACTTTCCAAGGACTATTATGCATGTATTTAAAAAACCGAAACCAAAAGTTTTACATCCTCCTGTGTATTTATCTTTATGAATCTTAAACATTTTCTAATTTATAAATATAGATATTAAATATTCATTCACACTCATATACACACAACCCATGAATAGTGTGTTTTCGGGAAATAAGTGATTTATTTATGGTTAATGTATGAAAGAAGACAACTATTTACAATAGAAAATATGTGCAGTGTTTTGGTCTTATTTCGTCCTTGACAGGAGAGATGTGAGAAGCACTAATTAGATAATAAGGTAAAAGAACAAAACTGTACAGTACTTCTCAACTAAATGAATTCCAAGTGCTAGAAGCAGGCAGTCAGCCTTCTGATGTTATAGAAAAGATCTTTAGTCTAGTGATTTACCAATTCATGGGCCGGCCCGCTGGCGCACTGCTACAGTGTGCCGCTTGGGAGCGTGGTGGCGCTCCCGCCGAGGGTTCGGATCCCACATATAGACCGGTTCCCGCTCACTGGCTGAGCGAGGTGCGGGCGTAACACCGAGGGTTGCGATCCCGTTGCCGGTCCCGGTCCGGTACGGGCGCGACACTGAGGGTTGCGATCCGTTGCCGGACACGAAAAAAAAAAAAAAGACAAATTCTAAGCCTTACTAATTAATACACAAGTAGTGCAACTCACCTTAGATGGGATGGAATATCATCTTTATTTTTTTTTAATTTAATTTTATTTTTTTGACAGCTGGCCAGTATTGGAATATCATTTTTAAGGCAGTTTATTAAGTCTTCCAATTTTATGATGGTTTTAAAATAATATGTGGTGTGTCTTTAGTTGGGATTTTGTTAATTCTTTACATTAAAGCATTCATGTTTTGATAAGGCAAAAGCTAAAATGATATACTCCTACTTTGACAGGACTTTTCTCTTTCCCAAAATAGGAAGGCATTTTCAACTTTTAAATCTCTGGTCAGAAAAAGAAGAATATAGAGCCAAATTACACAGTCATTAAAAACAATCTTTGTGGTTAGGTTAAACAAACCTTGACTTAGACCATCTTGACAAGATGTCTGCTTGACATCCAAGTTCTCCATGGTATCTCCTTTAGAGACTTCACCAAGAGAAGTTCTTCTCTCAAAAATGTTGTTGTTATTGTTAACTTGAGTCCCATTTTGCTTCAATAGCCTGAACACCTCAGCTTCCAAATCTCTAATCTAGGGGAAAAAAAAAAATCCATTCATAAAACTCTAACCAGCACTCCTCTCTAAGTACCAGGCAAAACCACCTTATTATTTAGTGGATTTTAGAGTACAACTCACCCTCACTTGTAGGCCTTGAACTTCTACAACATGAGCTTTTTCCAAATCTTCTATTTTCTTTCTTTCTGCTTCCTGTCTTTTGATGAAATCAAGCTCTCTTAAGAAGAAAATAATAGATCTGATTGTATCAAACACTCAATAAACAAGAAAATGTGAAAGTTCTTATCTGAAGCATTAAACTTCACAGTGGGATAAACAACTGGATAGCTATTTAAATAAATAGAACTCAATCATACTTAGAGAAATAGTATGAAAGAAAATAAGACATCTTTCATGGGTCACAAAGTAAAGAAAAATGCTTTGATTCTACTTATTATGATTTTCTTCTGTAGCTCCTGATTATAGAGCACCCATAACATTTAGATAGGAGCTACGGCACTAATGACCCACCTTGGGTAATTTAGTGAAAATAATTACATGTCAGGTAGAAATGATTCCATATTTCCAATATCATACACATTGTAAATTGATGGAACTGGATGGTAAGAGCTCAAAAAATATAATTGTAATAAAATTTCTTTCTATAAATAACAGTGGAGAGGAGGCTGGTTGGAGTAGAAACACTGAGGGGAGCATTCACCTACACACTAAAGGATAATATGGGGAGAAGGAGAAATAGCTCCATTTTGAAAGCTTGAAATAGAATATGCAAATTTAACAAAATTTATTATAAAATTATTACATGAAGGAGAGTTAGGGATGATATTTTTGGCAAAAAGAGTTAAAAATAGTAATGTATTTAATTCAGTCACAAAGAGCAATTACCCCCTTTGAACAATAAGCTTTTTACAGCAATCTCTTTTAAATATTAAAAATATTATTTTCATAACAGGAAATAACAGAGACATATCTTACATATGTGCTCATATCAATCTTACACATATGCTCAGCTTCTAAGGTTTGGCATGGAAGATCAGAAAGGTATTCACACTACTTTTTTGTTTTAGCTAAGCAGAAGTAACTGATGGAAAAACCAAGTAAAAATCTCCCTGGTTTCCCTGACATTACATCAAGATCCAACAGGTGGAAGCAAAGCTGCAGTAGCTCAGAAAGAGCTGTTGAAATTCAAAACCAGAATGGGGCGACTATCGTTCTCACTGTAGAGAACTGAGGCCCTTGTGATTCTCTCAACAGCTGAGATATGCAGAGTGGGAGGGCGGTGGGTCTTGCTAGTCAATATTTACACTGTCTGTAGTGGGAAAATTCTGCAGTTACTGATTCTAAGAACAGAGCTAGGAGCAGCTTGATCTAGGCCCCAACTTCTGCTCTGTATGCACTATATCTGATAGTCAATCATTCTGTGGGACTTCAGTTGGGCTTCTTTCCTCTAAATCACAGAGATATTCCAAAAAGGATGAAAAAATTCAAATGTTTTAACAGTTACTATCAATGATTAACTATCAAAAAAATTAGGTTGCCAAAAAATTGTAAAATATACTAAGTATAATCTCATATGAAAAAAATGACAGATGTGGTTTCCAAAACTTAATGTCTATTTATGCTGCACTGAGAGGAATAATTCTGCTGTCATCTCTTCTATTACACTAGATATGACAAAATTTTTGGATATAAACCTTCTTTAGACACACACAACTATCCTTTAGTCATTAGATACTGCTTACTTTTGTTGAAAATCCTTGATCAATTTCTTTGCCTTATTATACTTCTTTTCCAAGGCCTGATACTGGCTTTGAGTCTCTTTGAGATGTTCATTCACTGTGTGGCATAATGTTTGAGCCTCAATCCAGTAGCTCTCCAACTTCAACATCCTTTCTTTATTCTCTTCTATGTTCTGTTGAAGTTGGGTTTTTTCTAGTTCCCACCTCACTTTCTCATTTTCTGCCGCCTGCAGCTGAAGAAAGCAAATGTCAGGGCAAGGATAATTTGGGTACTTCTGTAGCAAAAATCTCATATTTTTATAGCGTGTCTTAGATTAAATTCCACTGTTATACATACTCAATATTCAAAACACCTTGAGATGAGAAGAGCAAGTTTTATCTTCATAATTTTGTAGATGATAAAATGAAAGCCTTGAAAAAGCAAAATGATTTGTCCGAGGTCATACATTTGATAAATGATAAAACATGGATTTGATTCCAACTCCATGACCTTTCCATCATACCATGTGGTCTGAAATTCTGTGAGCAGTAAAAGATGCTTTAGAGTTTGACTGATTATATCTAATGAATGCCAGTGTGTTATCTTCGAGAGTTTTTTAAATGTATAATTATATGTAAAAAATCAACTAGAAAGGGAGTGGAGAGAGGCAAGGAGGGAGAGAGAGAGAGGGATGGAAGCACAATATGGCCTAATGGTAATGAGGGGGACTCTGGAATCATTCAGCTTAAATTAGAATCCCAGTTCTGCCATTACTAGCTGGTAAACTGGGCAAGTAATTGAAGTTCTCTAAGTTCAATTATATCATCTGTACAATGGAATTGTGATATAACACATCAGCATGCTTCGAATAGATCCTCGGGCATAACAATCATCTGATAAATGCTAGCTATTTTTACTTCACTTTTAACCCTTTTATTGATATTATTAAGCCTTTATTTCAGTTGACATGAACACAGTCTGTAGCTAATTATTTTACAGGCAGTGTTATGAATTTCTAGAGCCTTATAAACCCCAATTCCCATAAATGTATAAAAGATAGTATAAGTAAAAATACAAACCGTTGCTTGATTGATTTAATCTCTCCAATGGAAGAGAAAGGCAGCTTTTTGTGGTTTCTGCCTCCAGGGACTCTTAGGAATAGACAGTATACTAGTCTAACACCCTCATTTCTACAGAAATTCAAGACCGATCCTTTAGGTGAGGGCTTAAAAGCCACTTATTCAAAATAACTGTCTGGCCTTCAAACTAGTGCTTTATCTACTTCATATACCTTCTTTAATGCCCAAAAGGATGCCGAGTCATTACAAACTATCAATGTTCAAAATCAAGACATTCCAAAATCAAGACATTCCAAAATCATACAGCATTCAGCAAATGGAAATATGTATTTATATGAACATATATACATACACACACACACACGCTTTTGTGTATACTTTTAACTAAACACATTTGCAAAACAGATGACAAAGTAAAAAGGTAGCCAAAAACATTCCAAAATTAGAAATTCTATTATCAACATGGATAATGAAGAATCAAAGTAAAGTAAGCTGAACTGTAGCTGTTATGTGCCAATTTAATAAAGAGAAAAATACAAAATATTAATTTAAAACAATTTCTAAGTTTAAATGTTGATAGTCTAACACATAACTCTGTTAAAGCACTTACTATCACAGGGGATCTTTTTCCCTTGCTATAACAAACAATTTTTTAAAATCTTCTATTCTTCTTTTCTATGTCAAGAAACAATAACAATTTAAAACAGGACTAGGTTTTTTTACTGCATCTTTTATTAAGCAATGCTTTGTATCAAGTTGTTTATTTACCAAACTAATTTAAAAATTATTATTCACAGAGCTGGGCTGACACCATGAATGATATATAGACATGTTTTGACTAAAGAGCGACAGTGAATTAGCTTAGAATACCATTTAACCAAAACAGCTTTGCTAACTCATCTACATTTAAAACACATGAAAAAACCAAAACAAGTGTTCAGTGTGAACAAAGAAACAGATCATTAGTGGTGGAGGATTAATTATGTCTTAATTTTTAAAAAACCACAGAAACAACAAAGGATATTGTTTTAAAAGTAATTCAAAAGATATTTTCAAATTTCTGAAATTGTGCGTTTGATAAAACTAAACAAAAAAATTGCAAGACTAAGTCTCATACAAGTACTTTATAACATACCAATTAAAAATGCACTTTTGAATCTTGTATTATTTTAAATATAAAGACTAAAAATACACACCCCTTATTATCAAGACCTTTTCTCTCCCCCAAATTTAAATAATGTGAACTAAACCTGTCTAAAAATTTCCAGTAGTAACTGGCACCTAAAATCAATTATGCATTTATTACGTTCTTAATATTTGTTAATGGAATTATAAATTATTTCTACCAAAGATAATGTGCTACATCACAGTACATTGTTTCTGATGAATAAGCTAAAAGTAAATGATTAAACCTATTTACAATAAAGTAAAGACAAAGATATATTATAGCTTATGCTTAAAGAATTAGTGATCAAAACATACTAAGGATATTGAGTCATTAAAATATTACTTTCTGAGAAAAAAACTGGCCACATATGTACAAATACATACATGTATTTAAAATATGGTGTTATTTGCACTGAGGGGGAAGTAGGTACATTCTCTCACTGGCATCTTTGTCTATGCACCTAACAGTGGAAATGAATCTCTCTCATTTGCATTCTTTCAAACGCACGGAAACAAATCCTTTGGTCCTAGGGTTAAATTTATTCGTGAGTTTAAAAAGTGCAATTCAAACACCATGTATTGGTGCTTACCTTGGTCTTCAATTTTTGAATCTCTGCTTCTGTAACTGCATGTTTAATTTGCAACTGAAAATTGAAAAGAAAGAAAAAATTTGAACTAATATAGTGTATCTATATTTTTAAAGCCTCAGCAGCTAAGCGTATAGCTTATTACATAGTAAAAGGCCTAGAAAAGTGCTGCAATGATGCAGGTTGTAAATTAAAACGTCTAGTGTGTAAAATGACACTAGGTGTAAACTCATTAAACACGGGGTTTATGGACCACACTCCCTAACATAAGATTAGGTTACCAATTTAATTGCTCAGGGACCAAAGAAAAGAAAACCCTTTTCTTGCCCTCTTTATAGTTCTTCCTTTGTGATACTAGGGTCAAAGAACTTTCCCTGTTGTGTCTAGCCAATTGAACGGCTTAAGCAAGCCAGCCGGTAGCTGTGTAAAGATTCAATTCCAAATCTGGAAGAAAGGTGGCGCCCTGGTTCTGTGAGTCGCAAGCACATTCTGATAGGCAGCTCGGCTGCAAAGGGGGAGAGGAGAAGGACGCAGTTCCGTAGCAAATTCTATGATTTTTTTTTTTTTTTTTTTTTAATTGCAGGAAATGTAAAGATCCAGATTTCGGTCCACCAAAGGATTTACTCGAATTGAAGACTCAGATCCCGAAAAGCTTCTGCTACAGTTTATTAGCATGAGAGTCACCGATTCCGTTTTGCTTCTCCCCTCCCCCCACATTGTTTTCTTTGTAAGGGATGAGGAACGAAAGAATCATTTATTCATATCCTTAAGGGACAAATATCCCCAAACTGAAGTAAAACAATTTATGGGTTCACAATTTCTTGTCTGAAATCCTTGAGGCCAGCCAGATGTTTTTGGAATTCAGAATTCTTCCAACTTCAGAAAGGTAATTAAATGCACTTTCCATATATTACATAATACACAGCAGGGTCTATGAAAGCAATTTGTAATCAAACGTGTGAATATTTTTGCCACCAAGCATATGAATATTCCCACTAAGCGAGGTATAGTAAACAGCATATTCTCAGTTTGGGTCAGGTCATACCACCAAATTAGTTTGCCACAAACTTATAAAAAAGACAGTTTTCAGAGCATTTGGGATTTAGGACTGTACATGAGGGACCATGAACTTATACTATTCCTGTAATTATGCAGTCTAAGACGTTTTCTTATCAGGAAAAGTAAGTGAATCTGCGGACAGAAGGACAAAAACCTGTAGTTCTCAGACTGGCCACGTGGAAGTTTTAGACCACCACACTTCCTAAACCTCAGCTATCTTTTAGGTTTGCGACCTGTACTTCCTTGGGTTTTACCTGGTTGGTAGAAAAACGATAAGGGAAAGAAGCAAGAATCAAGGATAGGTCGATTCAATTCAACACTCTTAGATGCCAATGGTTTAACAGCTCAGAACCCGGGGGTCCCCATGCTGCTTGCAAAGTGCTCCTTCCTGGATGTTTTCAGTTCTGGGTGGTCTGCACTGCCACAGCTGTGCACTGCTCTCAGTCACCTTGAAACTATATTTTAAATGGACTCTGCCCCACTCACACTGCTTATTTCACTTTCCCTCTTTCTAACTTGGTCCCTCTGGCCATCTTGCTGATGTGGCTATTGCTCCCTTTCACTCTCACTGGGTCCTAGGGGCTTCTGCACTCTAACTAACAGTCTCTAATTAGAATTCTTTTATGAGGCCCAAACAGCCATTACTGGCTTGTTAGTTTCTTACCACAGCCCTGGTCGTACAACTCTTATTCACCTGCCTTTAGCAGATGCTCAGAACGCTACTGTGCCTGACAAGGAATCGATTGCAAGCTTTCTCAGTGACTAGGTTGTAAGAGGATACAAAAGATAGAGCAGTGCTGCTCTAAAATCCCTCCAACTCCCTTCCTCCTTGCTGATGAGGTGTGTGCTCATCTGAAGCCCTGGTGTGAGTGTATCTTTCCAGAGCCTGACAATGCCAAGGCAACCCAGCCTGCTAGGCTCAAATGTCCAGTGGATCCTCCAACTGTGGGCCCTACAGTGAACTCACTACTGAAGAATCAGGGATCCTTACACTTCTGGTCTTACTTTAGGTCTGGAGAACTAAGGCTCAGAGAAAAGAACCAACCTGGTCTAGTCCTCACAGTTAACCCATTAAAACCAGAACTAGTCACCATTAAAACCAGGATTATCACACATGGATCTTTTGGTTCTGAGCCATTTCCATTTTCTAAAAAATAAGGATTAACTCAACAGGTTTTTATTGAAGAGTTGCTACATGCAAGATGCTGTGAAGATAACCCTTTCTCCCTCTAATAAATATTAGGGCTAACCTTCCCTACCAACATAAACTAACAAAATTTGAGAAAAAAGGTAAAACTACTTAGATATTAGACATATTACTTATATATAATTTATAAATATATGTGCACACACACACATATGGCTATAAGGAATTGTTTTCCATGAAGCTATTGTACTTCAGTGTGAACATGCTAGAGCATCCAGTAAAGCCATGTACCTAGCTGATTTTAGAACATCCGTGTTATTGACAAGATCTACTCCTTGCTCTTTCTACCATGTGCCAATTGTGAAGGCTAGCTAAGTTAGAGTCAGACCACTTGAATTCATCTCAGGCCTACCATGTACTAGCTACGTAGTGCTGAAAAATTACTTACCCTTCCCTACCTTTGCTTTCCTCACCTGTAATATGCAGTTCCTTGTAGTTCACAACCTTCCTTGCAGGAAGATTAAATTAGACAGCCCATGTAAAGCATTTAGCACAGTGGCTAGCACAGAATAAGTCCTCAGTTAAGTCAGCCAGAACCAGGAAAGAATGATCCAAAGAACTCAAAAATGACTACCACAACACTAATTCTCAGTTAAAAGTGCTAAATGCTATAAAATGTCATACACGAACTAAAATGAACACCTCTGATTTTATTTGAAGAGTAGCAAGAAATCAAAAGGGCAGATTTCACAGTGGACACTGTACTATGAGAACATGCCAAATTGTTTTCTTGGTGGTTACCTTCTGGTAGGGTAACCAAGTATATGGTGTGCAACTCGTTGGGACTTTCTTTGCTCAGATCCTATGACCTCTGTAAATTGTTTTTCTGGGCCTCAGTTTCCCATATGAAAAATAAGAGGTTTGGATGGGAAGAACTCCAAAGCCCTTCCATGTACTATAGGAGTGACATTTATGAAACAAAGAGGCGGGAGATAGTTGTCGTGGTTGCAAAGTCTAGAAATTCTTGTCCCAAGGCAGCATTTTCATTTTTATGAATGCATACACTAGATTAACCCACTGATATGTGGGACAAACTGTGAAACAGCCCACACTGATCTATCCCAACTCTCTCATGCCACCAAAACTGAGCAACAGAAGGGAGCTGAACTCATTAGTAGTGAGTTGAGAACGAATGATAAAAGCTTTAGTGTTACTAACTTCAGCTAAATTCTTTACATACAAGAAAGCAGAATGAACTGTATAAATTCAGACATTATTCAGAGGATGGAAAAAAGTTCTAGTGAAAGGTTTTCTTAGTACTCGTAGGCATAAAATTATAGACATGATTATTTTGATATGGTATTCATGTTAAGAGAATTTCTACAAATACATCACTATTAGTAGGAAAAGTATCAAAAATACATTAAGTGAGCCCTTTCATTTTACACAGTAAGAAACTGTCTCACTGGGCATAAGCAGAGCTAATAGGTGCCAAATCCAGGTTTTGGAAACCTCAGCCCATGATTCTATCCACTAATACAAAATTTCTTGTACTTGTAGGACCCTTTATCTTTTTTTATCATCTCACTTTATCATTGCAAGTGACTCTCTTTATCACTGCAAGTGCTGTCAACCTCATTGTTCAGAGAAGTCACAGAGCTTCTTCAAGTTTCCACTAGGAGTAGATGGCAGAGTGGAAACAATCCCAGGTCTAACTTCATACCTCTGTTCCTCCCATTACCATGTGTCAACCTGAACCAGTCACTTTGGAATATAATTCTCATTTAATCCTTACAGAAACTCCAAGGCACATGTCATCATTGTCACTTCCCATACAAGAACTATTACTGGAAACCATGGATCACTTACGGGAGTCTCTGACTAGTTTAACACTGAATGCAAAATGGTGTTCAATTAGCTGCTGTTATTATTAATGGAACTTAAAACACCTCCCTCATGATTCAACCAGCAGGTAGTGAATGAAACTATGTGCCAGGTACTGTGCTAGTCGCAGGGGACATGTGAACATGACATAGAAGACACCTTCAAGATACTTACATCAAGGAGATCAGTAAATAACACTTCCTGACAGAAGTCTCCAGATCGCCCTGAGAGAAAGGTCAGGGGGGACCTGCTCCTAGATGGCTTGATTAGCTTTTATTTCTATAACCAGGTCAGATGACCTTTCGCTTTGGCCTGTTTGTCCAAATGTGGACCCTACCTTCCAGGCAAAGAGGACACAATGGGCCTGAGATACCTCCATTTCACAAGGAAGAGAAAATTGCTTTTCAAGGGGGTAAAGAACCTGACAAAAGAAGCATGGTTGGCAAAGGTTGAGTTTTCTTCTTCTAAAGCAGTTCTCTTCCCACATGTTTAAGAGATTTATGTCAGGGATCAATAACCTTTCCAAAGAGGAGGTCCAAAGGTTTGCAAGTCAGGCTGACTGACAGCAGGGAGAGCAGTTCAACAGGGCTGGTAATAGAAACAGAGAGCCTGAAATGCCTTTTGGAACTCAGGCTTCAGAGAATTGAGGTTTGGAGAAAAGACTTTGGCTGGGAGGACACGAATAAAAAGAAAAAGTTAAGGATTGCAGGTCAGTGTCTTTTAACTTTCACGATCAATCTCTTCATCTCTTCTGTCATCTTTAACACGAATGCCACAGATATCCGCCCTAGAATTTCACCACAAATAAACATACACATTCCTACAGAGAACCGTGGCTCTCATTTAACATTCTGCAGGTGTACCTGCTGTGTAAATTTTTTGTTTATTTCTTTCAGACAGATGAAAACAGAACATGTACTCATATCACTGAATCAATACAATTTAAATATAACTCCGTTAGAGATAG